ACCACTTCTCGCGGTCATTCCTCAGACTCTTGATGAGCTGGCGTTTAAGGGATTTGCGCAAGGCAGTAGGCAAAGCGAAGTATTAGCTCATTTACTTCGATCGATTACTCCCTACCATTTTATCGACTGAAACGCTAACTCAAGTCGAACCCCAACCTGGAGGACCAGGAGAGTTAACTTTGTCTGATCTCTACCCCCTGACTCCCCGGTCGTGACATCTAATGGCTTGATAAAAGATATCCTGTGTAGTTCGTTGGGTGTGAAAGGCACAAAAGCCATTACACCACGTCAAGGTGAAGCCTCTTCGTGATGCGTGATGAAACAGAAATGACCAATCGGATTCAGCGAAATTGGGACTTAGGAGACCACTCGTATATTTCAGTAAGTTCTACGAATTCCGGAATATTCGGTGTATGCTTATCGGTTAATTTCACTTTCGCATTAATATGGATAGATTTCCAAGGTTTTCGCATTCCCGAGAATCCGGTTTTTATGCAATATTAATTATGTGACCAGATTTTCAATTCCCTGTATCCTGAGTGATTTGAAGAGGTGATACGTAAGACAGCAACCAAAACCGCCGCACGAAAGAACGAGGTAAACGGCTGCGTAAACTGACACCGAAATGAAACATCAGATAACGCAACAAATCACGCTGCATTCTCGCCTAATGAAGGTATTTGTGTGGTTTAGCGTGCTGAGCTCTCTTCGTGAGAGGCGAACAACATCACGATGACGTAAGTGTGCGCCAATAGGAAGGAACGTAATGAACTTACTTGTTTCAAAGGAATGGCTCGCCCACTGCCGATTCCGTTGAACTTTTTTTCACGATCTTTCTCATCTTCATTTTTCTTCGTCTAAAATCGAAAATAAAAGTTAGATGAAATTACATTCAAACAGTCTGTATCAACATTATCATAGTAGTTTTAAATAAGGGATTGGCCAACAGCATAATCCTTTATCTACAGTGGAATCCAGTAAAACTAGCAGCTGAGCTCGTGGTGTATACGAAAATAACCTGACTGTCCTCGTTTATCACCAATTTCCGCAAGTCACACCACACCAAGTTGCAACCTTAACATTATTGAATGCAACTCTTCTTCTCTGCGTTCCGATAGCAGGCAAATACGACCTAGTACTGAAAACCCCCGTCATGTTTGACAAAAACATCTAGTGACTCAAGAAGTAAGAACTCACAAATAAATTTGATTTGCGTCTGTTCTTCCGAGAATGAGTTGGTGTGCTGCTCGGCGTTAGGGATTCGTTATTTTCGGGCTTCCCCTCCTAAAAGCAAAGTGGAAACAGGTAACAAAGGAATTGTACTAGTTTAGTCATGAACACGGACTCCAGGCAGAATTTACAGTGAAAACAGTAGGCCACCATGAGTTTTGATAACGAGATGATTAGTTTAAGGGATGGATGAGGAGCTCATTCAGGAAGCGAGTCATGCGAGCGCGCGAAACAATATTTTGATAAGGCAAGCAGTCCGTTCGGGTGAGAAATCGATAGGCGATGATGTGGTCAGTACCTTCCGGTAACATGGTGGGAATAATCAGGCGCGTATTGCCATTTTCGTGCGGCGGATTGTATAGGTACCACATGCACTGATGATGCGGAGTAACTTACGATCACTTCGTTTTCTAAGGCCACCGAGGACACACTACTAGCAGCGACCAGCGTGGTCGACGGAAAATCAGCGGCTAAAATTGTCTGGTGCAACGAATCGAACTCATTTGAAGTTCCCAGGTCTTCTGGTAAAACAGGACAACTGGAGGTCAATTCTACCAGATCGATTCCGGCAACCAACGTTGCGTTTGATGGCTTAGAGGTTGATGGGATATAATCCGAGTAAATGTGCTGCGCAACTGGTTGAATAACACTTTCCGAGTACTCAGAAGGCAGACAATTTGGATGTCGAATCAATGAATGTGGTAGTTGACCATCCGCAAAAAAGGGGTGAGTGGCCCAATCGTCAGATGAATCCACAGAGATGGAACGACCAGTAGTCAGATCACTCCTTATTGGACTGGCTTCAGGTATTGATTTCGCGTTCAACGTCTGAAACAATCGAGTGCCATCAGCGCCACCAGAAACTGCAGCAAAATTTGCAAGCCCCGAAGCTCCACCAACCAATAATGTTTGACTTGGACGGTAATCTTCGGAAAGCTGAAAATCAGTGCGCAGTAGCATCATCCACCACGTGCTCAGACAACAATAAACAGCTCGCTATCAACAACCTAATCAAGAAAAGCACCATCGGGAACACTGACAGGAATCCGAACGTTTCAGCTGTCTTAAATGAGTGAACGGAACGACCTTTGTGGCACGTGTTGAGCACAGCTTTTAATTTATTGAGTACACTCAAATTGAAAAACCAATTATTTACTGCTGCCAGTTTCAGTAGGCATTAGGGACAGTAGAGAAAACTGAATTAGACAAGCTTTACAAACCTGATTATATCTGAGCTTCCATACACCGCTTTTTTAAATCACCTGTTGTCAACAACGAATCATTTTAACGACTGTAGTAAGGACTACGGCTACATGCTATAACAACAAATATTTCTTCGTACCTCGAGTGCATCCGGCTCAAACCCGGCGTTATGCATATCACTTCGATGTAAACCGGCAGTCGATGAGATACCAGGAGCAGATCGGCCATTGCGTTCCGAGTTCGTCGTAGAAGGGATAGAGACTGCAGAACTTGTGAGAACCATAGACACCTGCGAACGTGAAGGTAATTAGCAGAAATGCAAGAATTAGGACAGACAGACAAAATGTGTCTAAAAACAATACGCAAAGACAAAAGTTGCGCCTCAGTCATATCACGCAGCGTTACCGGTTACCGGTTACCATGGTCTCTGAGTCCCCATCCAGGCACCCAGCGCCTATGTGACCCAATCTCCTGTTTATGGTTTTCATACTCTTATACCAGGTCTTATTTTGACCGCTTTTGACTTTTCCATCCACTATGTGCCTCGGCAAACATCGCTCGCCGTGGCAACCTGCTTGGTGACATGCGTAACACATGCCCCAACCAAAGTAATCTATGGAGGTCGACTACCTGCTCCAATAGACGCCCGAGACTACCTAAAACTCTTCAGCTAACCTCAGCATTGGTTGTTCGGTTTTCTCACCAGATTCGTGCAATGGGACATAGACAGCGGTGTTTGAACATCGACAATCTATTTTTAACCTGTTCCCGTAATGGCCAAGTTTCTGCTCCGTATAGCATAACTGGCTGCATTTGTGCAGCATACACTCGCCCTATCACGGACAGCCGGATGCCGCTTTGGTGCCACAGATTTCTCAATTTGGCAAATACCATTAGAGCCTTGTGTACGCGTGCCGACACTTCATCTGTGACGCATCCAACAGGTTGCCCAGATAAAATTTATCTACCTCCTCTATTACTTCTGAGAATAAACAGGAAAACGTGCCGTTTGTCGGTAAAAATCACATTTTACATGTAGTTACTGGAACACGAGGCAAACCAATTACTCTATCTTGACTGACTACGGATTCACTTCGGCAACTAAAGACACGTCTGGTGTCGCTACGACATTCAGTTGTCTATGAAGGGTAGGTTATATGCTAAAGCAGTTCGGGCGATACTGCTGTATGTTGCGGAAATATACCCATTACGTGGACATGGTAAGACTATCGGTGTTCGAACGCCACACAGTGTGAGTTTGGTAGAGGAACCAGACAAGTGATTCCGGGGCTGAGCACAGTTCTAGGTATTGCAATCATTCATTGGATCAAAAACTCGAACTCCATAGACTATGTTGGTAGTAGTATACTTTACGCGTGTCCCTTGATGGGATTCCAAAGCAAACAATGGGTGGGAAAATGTCGGTTAGTTACACGAAGACTTGGTGTAAGGACATGAAAGCCCTAACGATGGGACCCTAAAATAAAGGTCGCGTTAGGTGTTAGGGTCCTCAGGATCAGACCAGTTGACGGTCAGAGACACTGAGTGATATGTCTGAGCGTTGTAAACAGTGGTTATCCCCAATCTATTTAATTTTTTGTAACCTTGATCTATCTGAATTCTCTGACTTGACGTGGATGCTGGTTCCAGAATCGTAATTCTCCTTTTTATTGATTTATCCAAATGAGCAGCTAAAACCGTCCCGTGAAAGAGTAAGCTGACAGGAGTAGCACCCCTGTAACATCAAACTGTATACCCTGGGTTTTCATTAAAGGACCATTTTCTCCACCCCATCCCTTCGAAACACGGTTATTCCCCAAGCACCGCACACAATCATGCAGTTTGCATGAATAAGTTGGACAGCGATCACTGTACAGTAGTTTGCTGTATGATTATCACGGTGACTTCACCAGATACATGAATGTTCATTGATAAGTGTTTTTCACCTAGATTAGGATAAATGCACATAACTGCGAATAGTGTGACCTTTGAACCATGCGACAACTGTGGTATATATATATATACTTGTGTGTGCATGTGAAACCGTCAGGCAAGAACAAACGACAGAGAAAAGTTTAATTTTAGTGTGCTTAACAATTGTTTACACGCCATGCACCAAACCGGAAAAAACAATGGGTACTTCCGGAATCAAATTTCTACTCTAATAGCGTTTGTTGTAGCGTTGTAGCGTTTGCTGTTACCGCAGAGACAGGAACCACCCTAAAACTCACGAAAACGGAAGGTGAATCAACTCATATTTCACGTTTTCGTGCATGATTAAGTGCATTCGAAGCTGATGAGTTATTTCCCTCAGAGTATTTTAGTCATCTCGTCTTGCAATTATAGAACTTATTCATTCCTGCATCAAATTTATCTTAATTTTAGAATTTATGACAGAATTGGACAGAGTATCCACAATAAAGAGCAGTGGAACTATCTCTGGTCACTGTATATTAGAGAACTGTTCAGCTAGTCTAGTGTCGGTTATTCAGGCGGTTGCAGTTGAAGCCCCATGAACGGTAACATGCAAGCCCAATGCAGAATCAGCAGTATGATATTGCATCAAACTGCGGAACAAGGGAGGGGCCCCATAACCTGACGAACTATTTCATTATTTTCGATATACGAGTGGTTCTCTCGTAAACTCCACTACTGGTTTCCTAGAAAACATTTCAGGTAGGTCATTTATCGTTACAACTTTCAAGAAGCAATCGTGCAGCGAACGCCTAAACCAGCGTGCTGGGTTTAGATCTGATCATTGAAAGAAGTATGGTGATTCTTTGTGATTTGGCATTCCAAAGAAACAGAAGAATCACAAACAGCAGGCGGAATTCTGACAAAGTCACTGTTTTACTGCCCAATTTATTACGCTGTGTGCATTCTTCGGGTTGTTTTCATTTTAGTCGCAGTTGGGACAATTATTAACCATGCGCCTTCATGTGCCAGATTGGTTATGATTGACCGTTTGGATGAAAGAGTAAAGGAAAGATTGGAATGTTCCAATTAATGTGAGAGTGAAAACAGAGAAGTGCAGTAGACTTGGTAACGGCAATGAGTTGATGCACGAGCGTCATCGTTAACGACACTCAGCCATACCTACCAGTGTCTCGATCATTACGACGAGACTGCACCTTGACGCGGTGTGATGGCTTGTGCACCTCTTAGGCCCAACGTTTCATACAAGATGGTCTATTGTCAAATCGAACATCTGATCATGCCTGGAAGGTCAAATAGTAGAGGTCAGATAAAGTCCAGTCTCCTGGTCTTCCAAGTTGGGGGTTCCACTAGAATTTGCGTTTCAGTCGTTGAAAAGTGCTGGAGGAGTATTGAATTCAATTAAATGAACCTCCGTCTCGTTTCACCCACTGCCTTGCAGTCGGGTTTTTGTTAGAACTCAGGGCTAATCGCTATTCTGCTTAGTGGCTGGACAACCTAACCGTAACCGTCCACCAAGCTCTATTGCATACAAACTACAAATAATTCCATACGGCATCGTTTGTCGTGTAGGATAATCATGACTGCGCTGCCCATTGCATCGAGCGGGGCAGGTAGTGATAGAGAAGTAGGCTATTTTTCAGATATCACCTGTAACAGTCCCTCAGGCAAATTTGATGTCGCTTATCAAATAGCACTATAATTAATTTACCACGAAATAGATAGCAGATTCTAGAGCCGCGTCAATCACTGAATCTGAGCATCTTCAAAGTGAGGACTCTTATTATTACACACGTAAGTGCGTTGAACAGCAGACGGGGTAAACCTCATAGCCACGAGGACCTGCTGTGCAGTGAAAACCGGCAACCTAAGCCCCGGGACTAGGAGTGGCGACTCACATAAGGCCCCGATAGATTAGGCGTGGTATTGAACCGGACGACAAAAGAGCTGCCTACCACCAAAGTCGGGTGGAGGTGGCGGAGTGGGTCAACAAGCGGGTCCGGCACGTACAACGGAATTCTTAGGGATCCACGTTTGCTGCGTATCGGAGACTCGAACTCGGGGTTCTAGTACTGTCACTGAGTGCCCCAAATTTGTCCTCGAGGTACGCTTCTCGCACATCAAGCGACGAGAATGCCCGTTAAGGTCAGCTCGGGGTAAGTATTGCACACAGTAATCAGATCGAGTCCTTATTGACTCGATCCTGATCAACGGTGGTTTGTGTGCGATGCACATCCGGGGGTTAATCAGCTTCCGGAAGAGAAATAACACTAGGTCTGTTCCTCATTTCGTTATATGCAGAGACCAATTGCAGAGGTTTGAGCCCCACCACAACCACCCTACTTAGGTGCTAGGCAGCTCTGCTGTTACCCGGTTCTATACCACGCCTGACCTAGCGGGGCTCTACTTGGTTTGTCACTCCGGGGCTTAGGTAGTCGGTTACCATTACTGAATAGCAGTTAAAACAGGACAAACATAAAAATACTAAAAACTGTAGTGAAACAACAAATTTGATACTCTAGTTATCTACTATTTTTCATTTCAACTGTTTCACCTTATTTTCCCTCTGTTTTGTATCGTTGTGGCGTTGGCACCATGCTTGTCCGCAAGCTCGTGACTAAGGTGTCCGCTCCCTCTGCTGTTCATGACACTGGTGCGTAATAAAAATATATCCCCTTAAACGAACAGTCTGTTTTGTGTCAATAAACGCGAGTATATGAGCAAGTTTAAGGTCATTCATTCAAAAATGTGGATAAAATTTGAATCATATACAAGTCTGACAAAAATTCTGCAAATAGACTTACAGGAGGTTTTGATGCAGTATTTGCACTGCGCATATAGCCTTGGGGATACAATGGGTGCTGCGACTGGGGAGTTCCTGCGACTGTCGGCGGTTCAGTAGGGCTTATGCCGTGTGGACGCGTAGGAACAGTGCTGGAGAACTGAGGAGTAATTGGTCTGGATGGCTTTGCTGGTGCATGCGTTCTTGATTGTAGAATTTTCAAACAGGCTACAAACAAATGATATTTACACATGTTTCCTTACCGTCTTGAAATACCCTTTCTACATTCAGGCCATACGCTGCACACGTTTCATAATAGGCGCATCTCCGCAAATCGTTGGCAAGCTTCCTTGCTCTTGAATCGTCGATTACTCGGATGTAGGATTCGCAGTTGGAATCTAGACTAATATGATAACTAACGATGGTTTTACCTTGGGTGCCCACAAGCAGAATGGGCAGGTTGGTGAGATCTCTGTACGTTGACAAACGGGCATAATAATCATATACCAGCTGGTAGCTTTCAAAATTCTCAAGACTAAAGACAAATATCACACCATCGATCCAGTGGCTGAACTGCTGATCAGGTGGTCCTCCCTCGTCTCGGATCAATAACAAATGACTTTGGTTTTCGAGAGAAATTTCTTTTTTAAACCTTCCACCTTCTGGAGATTCCTCGTGCAAATATGTACCGGTAAGGTAGCGATGTACCAAGGCAGACTTTCCACTATGGATGGAACCTAAAAGACCCTTGAAATAGGAAACACAATGCAAGGCATCAATATGAACTACAAACCAGTTTTATATCTGGAACTCTATGGCTCAAAGTCCATTCCTGGCTGTTAACAAAGGCATCTTTTGTGAAAATAATAAATATTAGTTACAGTCGCACCTTCTATCGACACGACCAGCTGGCGAAGCGAGTCGGAGATATTTTTGTCGTCAATAGCATCCACCAAGTCATAAATGGCGTAGATACTTGGATGAACACTTTCAAAACGGATAATTTCCTGTCTAATCGAGTGAGAAACCTCCTCCAGAGAGGAAAATGCTGACATTTGTGCCGCCAAATGCTATCGCGACATACGAACAAGAGTTTCATGCAGCGCGCCACTAGTTCTAACTTATTAAAAGGTCAAGTCAGGACTGAATATGGCCACGGCCAATCGAACGTCCAAAATTCCTTCGATGGTATGCTCACTGAGTGGACACCCAGCACTGCTGAAATGAAAATGAGAAATAGGATCTCATCTCACCGAGTTGGCGAGTGAATTGTTAGACGTGAGCGTTCCATTACGTGCACTAGTGAAAAAGGGAAATGACATTCTAAACAATTGGCACACCTACACTCGTTTACACTGCCAGTGATGGGAATAGTTCTACCCATCTCTTGTCAAGTGCAGTCTTCAAGGCCTGCACTGTTTGAAGGTCGACTATTTCCTGGGGAAACCGGTTCCAGCTATCGACTATCCTATTACTGAAAAGTGATTCCGCATGTTTAGTCGACATCTTTGCTTCATGAGCTTCAACTCATGCCCCCTAATGCCGTGTTGTGGAGCTAATGTGAAAAGAGTGTCCCTCTCCTATCCCCGATATTCCCCTCATGATTTTGAAGGTTTCTATCAGGTCCCCTCGCAGTCCCCTTCTTCCTAATG